AAAAATGTATAAATTGGAAATATTGGAATCTTTCACGCGTTAAAAAACAGGCTATTACTTTCAAGACTTGCTATAGATGAAGGCGAAGAAACAATGATTTGTAATATAAAGTGTGAAGTCGCCAACGAAAAATAGAAAATAAAGTTGAGAAACAAAATTAGAAAAACATCAGTGAGAAGAATAAAAACAACCATGAATAAAAAGCAGAAGAAGAAAAACCACTGTGACCAGAGCATTTTGATGCCCTGGAATCTTGTTTTATTCATAAGACTGCTGATTCCCCTATTAACGATACCCACTTCTCTTCACCACTTCTACATAGCGCGTGGAAATACATTTTACGCTGATTTGCTTCTCTCTGCCACTGGGGTTTTCCTTGTTCTGCTTTTCATCTTTCTTCTCCCTCGGGTTCTGTGGTTTTTCTAGTTTTGCTTCTCATCTTAATCGTTCTGTTTTTCGTTCGAAAATTTACGTTTTACAATTCAAATCACTTTTTCTTTTTCTCTTTCTTGTCTGCAAGTCTTGAAAATGGACACCTGTTTTTGAGGGCTCAAAACATGCCGACTGTTATTTTCAATTTGTATATTATTAAATAGAATAAATTTTTAAACAAGTCATAAATCACTTGGTTGTGTCGATTCACGTGTCTGTGCATGGACAGAGTGAGGGCTTTAAGGCCTGGGTTTATTATCAGCTTGAATCAGTTTTGAGATCAGATTTAATTGGATACGTGAAAGAAATTTCATGCGTTTGTCGAACCTGATTGGCTGACCAATGCACGACGTCATTTGCGAGCATCCAGTTGAAGATGTGGAATCATCCTTTAAATGCTTGAAGAGCGAGACGAATGACTGTATATCAAGACTTTTTATAAAAATCGGATAACGCAATACTTCAGCAGCTTTAACAACAGGAACGTGTCATATTAATTAAACTTACTTTAAAAGTTTAAAGAATATGTTAACATTTAAAATTTCTAATTTTCGCTGTTGGTGATACAGTTTTTTCGTCCACCACTATAAGTATTCATAAATTTCTATTGCATGATTCGATTTAAAGATATTTCATTTAAAACTAAATTTATACAAAAAATTACAATAATTATCTACTACAACAATGTAAACAGTCACATTTAAAGTTACATCTAACATAAAAGTTGATAGAAAAATGTCAAGAATTATATTTAAAGAAAAAATATTGAAATTGTGCGAAACCATAGAATGAAAAGAGCTAAACATGAAAACTATATTTTGCGCACACATATAAGCATTTAATTCCATCAACATTCTTCGGCAAATGTTCATAAACAAAGAATTTAAATCAAATGACACGTTATAAACCATTATCTTTGTAATTAACGTTGTATCTTCATTTAATAAATAAGGCTTCGGAATGTTTGAATCAAAAGGTAATCATTATTAAAATATATAATTTGTATTTATTTAATACTGACAGTATTTTTTTCATAAAAGTATTATCAAATTATTATATTTCTAACTATTTTAGTAGTAATAAATGTGGTTTGGTGACGTTAATTTTTAAAATGTGTTGCCAATTTTTAAAATTAAAACACGTTTTATTTTAAGTAGCAGATACGAACTTGTTAATACAAATGTAACTCGTTAACTTAATTTTTTTTATTATTATTTATGGATTTTCAGAGCTAAGTTTAGGATATATAGACAATAATAGTTCAACCAAATATAGACTCTAAAACGTTAATATACAATAAATAATGTTTTGATAAGAATAATTTTAATGGTTATCATAAATTAATTTCATTCAAGTAATATTTTTGCCCACATAATTATAAACATTTACCTAATTAACATTCCTAAAATCAATGCTTTTTTTGTTGATTTTTCTTAATTATTTGATAAACACTTTTAACTAGCCAAAATAGGAATTGAGCCCCATAATAAAATCATACGTAACAATACATTTAGAGAGTGACTAATTATTCATTTAGATTCCAATAAATGATCTAAATATTTACCTCAGCTTAACACAATTTGAGTAAGAATGTGCATATTTTTTATGGAAAGAATAGCTCAATGTCCCAGAAATGTGTAAAAGTTTTTTCTCAAGCATTTAGTATATTTTTTAAACACATGGCTTTATTGGAAATTAATACATATAATACAGGTAACATATACAAGTGCGAGAATATGAGTAATATGAATACATGAACAATAAGAGTACATAACAACAATACGTGAACAATAAACGAGAACAGTGAATATTAAAGATAACAAAATTTAAGAGAACTATAATGAGTGTCAGACAAATGGAGACAAGAGAGTCCTACAGAGAATATATTATGCTTCTAGCATCCCTATATAACTTTAGAATATCGCCATTACTTTGAGATTCTTTATTGAGTCCTGTGCATGATAGTTAATGTTCAGCATTCATCTTACCTGCTCAGCAGATTTGACATTCACTTGTTAAAAGGATGTCAATGCTGTTTAGATGTTCTGCTAAACAATCATGCCCAGTTTTAAGCCTGAAATTAGGAACGGATTCCATACGGGATGTATGAAACTTTATAGGATCTTTTCCCAGCGTTTTCCTTTGAATAGTAATTCGTGCTCTGTTTTGTGTGCTGTATTAATTTGATTCAAAATGTGCTTCTTTAAAATCTTGTAGGGAGAGGTAAAGTTTTTCTTGTGTACCCATCTTTGCTAAAGAGTCAGCTTTCGTTACCTGCGTGTGATGGGATCCATTGAAATACTCTTATTTTTATTTCTTTTATAACCGTCGTTGAACAGCCGATCCAATTTTTGCTTTTACGATTGCTCATGTTCAACGCCTTGTCATTCTGAACCCAATCCAGAAGACAAGGGAACTCCTGGATCAAGTAGGGAGAGAAATTGGCCTTCGTGGAGGACTTTTAGATGGAACTAACCCGTATTAGCGTTACATGGAGAGGAAACCCACGAAAACTTCTCACGGTTAGCCTGATGGCAAGGAGACTCTAACCCACGATCTGTCTACTACAGAGGATATATTACGTCAGCACTGCAGTTGGGGCAACCCATATACGGAATTCGTATCGACCAGCCATCGCCGGGATTCGAACCCGGCCCATCTCATTGGAAGACGAACTCTCTATCACCTGAGCCATCACTGCTCACTATTAATTTATTGTTATTTTTAGAGGATTTGATTGTTTGTTTACTATGTGAAATGATACAAAATTCGGTTCCTGCAGCCAAAATTGTTAGTCATTTATCACCACCCAGGAGACACGTGTGAATAAAGGGTTTCACGGATGCGAGTAACATTACCTTTCTATTTTGTTACCACTTTTAAAATAATGTATAACAATGGTAAGAAAAAATGAAAATATGTATTTTGATACAGTTTATGTATTTGTATATATTTGTAAAATATATTTTTTCATAATTTTTTATTTCCCAGACTGTACATATTAATTAAGATTTACTAATTTCAGTAGCTGTTGGAATGTAAAGCATGTAAAATATGTCTAAAATATAAACATGTGAAGCGTAAACTATGTTAAAACAATTTGACGTCGTTATGAGAAATAATATTTACTTCTAAAACGTTTAGTGTGTCTTATAAATATGAAGAAAAAAACGCACTGCCTGCATTGTTCTTATATAGATATTTAAAAAAGAAAAGATTCAGTCAATAATTTTTAAAAGTAAAAAACGCAGTGTAATTATACGACTACAACTTGAAAATTACGAGATTAAAAAAAATAAGGCAACTCAAAAATGCCCGCCTAAATTTGCAAAAGTTGCTATAGTTTATTTTTAAAGTCGTAACTCATTTTTTCCCTTCAAAATAAGCAATTTTTAAAGAAAAAAAAATTATTAACTCCTAACTGTTAAACTCATTAGTTTAAGGCAGTGTTTCCCAAACTTACGACTTTTGTGTACCCTTTCTAAATTTTTCGTAACGCTGTGTACCACCAATAAAAAAAAATTATGTATTTTTTACTTTAAAAAATTGCACAAAAGTTAAAAATCACCACTGGCTGTTGAAACCACTAATTATTAACTCTTTAACTCTGCAAAAAATAGCCAATAGAAAAATACGTAACCGTAAATTTTCATGTCTAGCTTTGTTTTTAGATAAAAGTTTTTGAAATTTTCGTTTGCTGCAAGATATTTCGCATAAGAACGCGTACCTCCGCTAAACTGTTCCCGTACCCCTGGGGGTACGCGTACCACACTTTGGGAAACACTGGTTTAAGGTAAAGAATATCAAGATGATAGCAAAAGTAAACTAATAAGAAAAGAAAATATGAATGGTAAAAAGTGTATATATTAAAAAAGTAAAAATGCACCTTTAAATTGTAATAAAAATTAGTTTTACTTTTTATTTAAATTTTGTAGGGTTTATAATTTTAATCCAAAATATATATCTCATTCTGATTCCTTGAAATATGATTTTTTTTATTCCTTAACTAATTTTAAATACTAATTTTGAAGTGAAATTAATCGAAAACTTGATACAATTTTTTAACAGTAGCTCTTAGCATTTTTTTAATTAATATTTATCATAATGATTTTAACTTTTCATCAAGGTAAAATATTCTCTTATTAAACCATACATCAGTTTTTTTCTTTACAAATAATAATGAAAAACATCACAAATTTCATGTTTTTTTCCTTACATTCGAACTTATTTTAATTATTAATTAATTTGTAACAAATCAAACTTTAATTATAAATACTGTGCCATGATTAATATTTACGACTGTGCTCATAATTTTCAAAATTCAGAGCTCGCAATTCTACATTTATCAATTCAAGAATTTCAAAATTAAACCTATGACTTCTCGATTTCACCAAATGATTTCCTGGATTAAAAGAAAAAAAAATTCCATATATTCTTTATTTCTTTTAAGACAGTGTTCTCGTCAATTAATCATTTACGCGCGGCTCACATTTCTTGGCGCTCAACACACCTGTGATTCATTGCAGTGGCGGCCGCCAAGATTGTCAAATTGGCGCACAGTTCACGGAGATAGGAAAGCGAAAGAGGCGCGCTACGGATTCTTTATGAGGAGTTGGAGTAAAAGGGGTGCACAGTGGCGGCTCACTAGTGTTATGCCATGAGGGCTTTTGACGCCTCTTATATGGCAGGCGGCATGGATGCCTACGCCCTGCGGAACAATGGCTCAGCATCGATGAGCCCTGGCACAGAAGTTCCACAGCCCTCTCCTCTTTATGAAGATCGCGACGAAGAAAGTGAAGGTAAATTTTTTTTTTTTTTTTTTTTATGCACGACACTGATTTTTGTAAAACTTTATTTTGTTTAAAACAATATTTTTAATACCTTAATAATAGTAATTTTCAGCACAAAAAATTTATTTGCAAAACTTTGTTTGTTTAAAATAATTTTTCTAAGCGGCAATATATATTTAAAAAGGGAACAAATCTATGGCATTTATGAATTCATGTAATAATTTTTGGGAAATATTTCAAAGCTTAATTTTATGCGTATTAATTAAAAATTATTCCTAAATTTCTTTATTTTTTAAAAAAATAAGTTACAAGTATGCAACCTTTTTGACGCAACTTAGTTTCACTTATTAATATTTTCAAATAAAAAATAAATAATTAATATTAAATGATTAATAATTTCTAAAGTAAATTTTTTTGAAAACTCTAAAAATTATTCGAGTTAAAACTTTATTTAAAATATTAAGAAAATATTACTTTTATTAGTTGCATGCAATTATATTCTTAAAAAACTTTTCGTAAAGCTTTTCAGGAAAAACAATTACGCTCAGTGATTTCATTTAGATGTTTGTCGATTTTTATTGTTGTTATATTGCCGCACTCTTTCAGAATCACACTCTTTTAGAATCTATTTAAAAAGTGAACAAATATATGTCATTTATTAGTTCCGTTAAAATCAAGTAATGCATAAATTATTTTTTGAAAAACTTCACCGCTAAGTTTTGTGAATATTGGCTACAGATTATTTCTTCATTTATTTATTTTCATAAAAAAAAGAAAATAAATTTTAAAATGTGCAACCCTTTTTATGCAATTTGCCTTCGTTTTATAATATTTTCGTAAAACTTTTTCTTCGTACTAATTTGTGCAAATAAATTAATAAATTTTTTTTATTAAAGCAAATTTATTCAAAAAACTCTAAAATTTATTCGAGTTTGTACTTTATTTTAAATTTTATAAGATTGTTACAATCATTAATTGCAGTAAAATTATATTTTTAAAAATTAACTTTTCGTAAAGTTTTTCCTCAAAAAATTTTGTTTGGAGTGATTTCATGGAAATATCTGTCGATTTCTATTGCAATTACATTTTAAACAGCATTCTTTTAGTTTTTGTATGTATTTTAAATTTATTTATAAAAATACTCATATGCTTGCTCGCTATAGCATTTATAAGGGCATTATTTTTTAAAAAAAAGCTCGAAGATTAAAATTGACATGATCGATTACAAAAATATTTGATGTGAGTAAAAAAAGAATTATTGTAATAAATCTCACACATAATGTAATAACTCCCTTCATGTTTAAAATTTATAAAGATGCTTAAACACATAACTATAAAAATGTGGGTTGCAAAATGCGAAATGTGAATAACAGAAAATCTGCTTTAAATTTTTCAGAACAAATATCCTATTCTTCAGAGTTTTCTCTTTGCAAACGATTTTAGCTTCCGAAGAACTCATTAAATTTCTAAATTTTAGCTCATTTGCATTCAATTCTGTAAATTTATGCATATTTAAAATCCTTTCTTTAACAAATAAGTTTATTTAAGATTTTAACAAGTTATATAGTTTAATAATTTTAGTAATTTAAAAGTAATCGTTATGGTTGAAACTAAAGCAGATAAGAATTTTAATTCTTCGATTGCTATCTGATGTGATTTACTATTTATTCTAATAAAGTAAGAAGAAATAACGGGTCCTTAAAATAAGAGGGCATTAAAATTTTTATTTGATATAATTTTGAAGCATGCAGCGAAATATTTCGTCAAGGAATTTGTTTTTTTTATTTTTTATTTTATTTGTCTCTTTTTTTTTCAAAGAACTTAATAAAAAGCAGTATTTCTTTTTTTTTTTCTATATCAAACGTTTCATAAAGTTCGTGATCAACGCAATAAATTCACTTTTGGTTTTCAACTCTGTATTTAACAAGCTCCTAAACAAAATTTTATGTTTTATGAATTTTTTAAATAACATTTCTTAACTAAAAAAGTAAAACAATTTTTTAAAAAAATCGTAACTTTGAGAATCTTATTTTTTAAAGTTAACGTATCTGAGAAAAAAGTACCTACTAACAGCAGTCCTTGGATTTACATGGGTTTCATATATTTTTTTAAAAATTGCTTTCAAAAATGAATCAGTATATTAAGTGCAAAGTAAAACTTAAGGGAAAATTAAAATTATCGTAAATCTGACCAATTAAGGACAATCAGAGCAACTGTGGAGTTAAAATCTACAAAAACAGTTTATTTTTAGAATTCAAAGCTGTTGTACGTTTTGATGCACCTTTAAAATGCATTTCTACAGATTATTATCTGGTTTGAGAGATATATTAATCATTTTAGATAAAAAAACATGTGTACCTGCTTCTATTTTTTATCGGTTATTCTTCGTTTATCATAGATTTATAGAGTAACTATCTATGTTAGGTATTTCCCGGAAATACGTGTAAAAAAGAGTGAAAACACCACAAGAAATTGGTGGGGGGTGAGAAGGGGGAAAACAAATTGCTGTTATCAAGATTCTTCGTGATTATTAAAACACAAAAAAGACTTTAAGTTTCCAAACACTGATTTTATGTATCAGTGATAATATTTAATAATGATCATTGTTCATAGCACTGAAACCTCTACCTGTTTTTAACTAGTTTTTATGCAAGATTTTACGCCTTTACTGTTTATTATAATTTTTAAAATTACCTTAAGCTTAAAAGCTAACTTTATATAGCTTTTCAATATTTTCGTTACTAATTTTTGTAATTTAAATATTACATTCATTCTTAATTTTTTTTTGAAAAAATAAACTCAACTTTTTATTATTATTCTTAAATATTGAATTATTTAAGGAAAAATACAATTTTGAAATGATTTTATTTAATATATTTTAAAAATCAGTAAAAATTCTGCTTTACATTAATAAGTTATTAGTAATTATCGTAACTTTCCTATTCTGTAATTTCAGTAAAGTCATGATTATCGAACTTTTAAAACCATTAGAGAATGGTAAAATGAAAAAAAAAAATTTCTTTTTTTAAGAAGAAATTACTTATTTTAAAAAAATATAAAAATAATTATTTAAAAATTATTGTATGTGAAACAAAAATAGTTAATGTTTAGAAATTGATAAAATATGCAATTTACAATAGTGTTTATAAAAATTAAATGATATAGTTTCCAAATGATTATTTTGTTTTAGATAGTTTGACTTTTAAAATGTAAAAGTAGTTTTCTACTTATTTCATTCCACAAAGTATACATTTCGTAAATAATATGACTGCTTCTTTAAGGAAAGTTGTTTTAATAGTAAGATTTGTCTAAATTTATGCAATTTTCTAAACAATTTTTAAATATCTCATAATTATTAATTAGTTTGCTAATTTAGAAAAATTTTAAATCGTAAAGGAATGAAACAAAAACAAAATAAATACATTTCACTTCAATTGATTCAACTGTTAGGCAATTATTATGCTAATTTGTTGAGGGTGAATATTAATTAATTTGATAAATTTACCATAACTGCATTACAAATTGCATCACTTGAGACAGATTGAACTTATATTGTGTTTTTTTTAAATTCCTCCGTGTTTTTAATTTTTGAATCAGAGAGGAACCCTGATTTGAGATTTAAACTGTTCATTTCTCTAAGCATAGGCGAGAGAGGACAAGTTTTAGTTTTTTTACTGAGACAAGTTAGTTGCTTTTTGATTTTTCTATACTACCTACATCAAATATGACTCATGCAGCGGATATTTAAACTTCTAAATTAGAAACAAATGATGAAAAATGTTGCCAATAATAGTTTTTTAAAGAAAGACTTCCAATTTACAACGTATAAGGGAGTAAGTTGATATTTATTTCAAATTAAATACATAGATAACAGTGTAAATATTTCAATCAATTAGAAGGTTTTTTTCTGATGAAACTTTCATAAGATTATAACATTTTGCATAAAAAAATGTATTTGATTACTGAATTTTTAAGAAAAAAATTGATATAATCCTCATAAAAAATGAGATTATTAATTTGTAATTTTTTTTTCTGATATAGAATAGCCATTTATAAATTTTCATTAAGCTCGAGACCTTCTGTATACCAACACGATTGTTATACCAAACGATCTGCCTGACCCTTCTATATAATATTTATTGTTAAACATTTCAGCTCATTATTCAGCTGTTAACAGCTGTAACTGTTATTGAGCATTTTATCTATCGCTACTCTTGAAAACGCTTCAATATATTTTAGTACACTGAACAGAAAAATGGCCAAAACAACGTTCCTTTTAGGAAATCAATATTTTCGCAAAAATTTCATTTGGAAGCAACTACTCACAATGAAGATCTTTAGATGGTCAAATAGTAAGAGTTCATTGTACCCTGAGAAATAAAGTAAGATCAGAACTACAAGAATATGGAGAAAATTTAGCGTGTTTCTAGATCTATTGGAGCACCAAAAACTTGGTAATTATTATACAAGTGATTTGGTAATGATCTTGGGTAGAATTAGCATTGTTCTATATTATGCTTTTAAGCTTGGTAAATGTGGTAAAATTTCGTAATTTTATTATGATAACTTTGAGCATGGCATAAAAATAATTTATTCCGTTAAATTTACTTTTCAGATTTTTGTTTTTTTACTAAATGTATGGTAATAAGAACTATAATTTTGAAACTTTTAAATAAGCAGTTCTAGAATTTCCGCTAAACCGTTACAGAATTCCCAATAAAACCTTACCACATACTGTAAAAAGTTTTGGTGAATGATTGCAACCATTTTTAGTGTTGATCAAAACTAAAAAAATTTTTCAGTGCAAAAAAAAATATTTTTTTATTTACATTTTCACTGCTATAGTTTTATATTCGCTTTTTGTTTGTTTTCGTATTGACAACACATATTTTAATACACATTAGAATGAATTTATGCTTTCATTTTAAAAACATTTCGTTTAAAAAACGTGCTCTACAGTTCTCTAAACTAATATAATTCTCTACTTGAAAATGT